ACACCAAACTGGACTCCTTGATGACCCATCGGGGACTACCAGTGATAAGTGGATCGTATTTTGGGAAAAACGTTGTTTTGGCCACTGTCACTGACCACTGGTCACGCCAGTCTTCAAGGCAGGTAGAGGTAGCAGTTATGATTCAGACCACGGCTGTCCAAAGTGTAATATCTGGAATCCAAGACCTGAGCTTACATGGCTGATGGAGAGCTTGAGAACTACCTATGAGCACCTGGGAGAGATGTCAATCACTGATAAGATGGAAAGATCAGAGCAGAGCCCTAAAGGTCAGGCTAAAAAGATAAGTGCTGGCATTCTCATTCTGTTCAACAGACTTTGCCAGATATCTACTCTTTGCCCAGTACTATATTCTGCTTCCTTGTGACATACAGAAATGGGTTAGACAATACCAGTACCTTTTACAGTCATTACGAGACTAAATACATTCTACGATCACATGACGAAATGTCACATGAGAAAGTGTAATGGAAATGTGAAAGGGAAATAGCAACTGAGAAGGCTCAGAAAAGGTTTTGAGGAGAAAGAGGCAGTTAAGCCCAACCTTAAAGGATAGAATTTTGACAGGTGGGGATGGAAGGAAAAAAACAAAACAAAACAAAAAACAATCCTAGTTTTTCCAAAGAGAGAATGAGTGACTAGGCTTGCTGGATTCCCAAACCCTGCAGTGATGTGGTGCTGCCACAACAGGTTTTGTCCTCTCAGCTATGAAAGCAGATGGACTGTATTCACAGGGAACAATCTTCTCTTTTATATGTTGGAGAACATTCTTCCAGAGTGGGTCAGGCTAATATGCTGGACCCAGACATGACCAGCTCTGCTGCCTCTCGTATTTTTCCTCTTCTTGGGAGAAATTGGGGACGCTACGCTCGAGGGCAGTCAGTCTGGCACCTTTAAAATCACAAGCACAGAAAAAGAGCGAAGAACAAAAATTAAAAATAGCCCTACACATCAGCAGGACACAAAAGGTGCCTGAATGTTCCCTTTTCACATTAACAAAAACTTATACAAACTGCTTTTTAGGGAGGCATTCAGAATGAAAAGAAAGTTACTCCAGCATAGTACATCCTTGCCCCTAGAGGGGCTTACACTACACATCACTGAAAGCATACCACAGTCTTAATGCCCTTCTTTTAGACAAGTATCTCAGCACTTTAATTTAAATGAGGAAAACCAAGGAAATGGTACCATCAGACTCGAGGGCACCAGAGCATGAAGAAAACACCGTTGATTAGGGGCCAGTAGGAATCCCAGGGTCAACTTCAGACCCAGGGCTGGTAGGAGGAGCTTGTTGACAAGGCTTAGAGCAATGACTTAAAAAAAATCTAATGACAGAGGATCAGACAGCCTGGGGAGAAATTTGTCAGTGAGTTAAGACACCTGAACCAAAGAAAAATATTTATATGTTGTTGCTTTATATTAACTGTGGTAACAGTCATGAATTCTTCTCACCACTTATCCCATCCTTTTCCTCCAACTATATAGCTACTTCTGCAATGTCTCTGAAACACTTCCTTCCCACCACATGCCTACTACCTAAATTGGGCTTCATTATCTTTCATGGGCCATTGCTATGGCTTCCTGACTGTTCCGCAACCTCAGATTTACTTCCTATACAAACGGAAAGGCTTGATGGAAGTCTTAGTACTGGAGCTAGGTCTGGAAGTTTACACACTTTATGGACAAGTCAGTTTTAGGAATGGCATAAGTAAAGGGTGACATTACAGGCAAATCAACAGGTTGAGCAAGGCAGGTAGAGCAGTGGGATATGGGTTTTCATATTTAATGGTTTCAGTTTTCTCTTTTCATAATATGAATTTATTTCCTTTATAATGTGAAAATAAAATTTTATTTAAAATGGTATTCCTGTGATCAGTACACCATTAATACAATAGGCCATAGACTCTCTTTTGCAAACACTGCTGTTTTTGAGGTGGGACCAAAAATGTCCATGGCTCTTTTGAGTGGGTGCCATGGCGATCAGGGGTGACATACTCCCAAACTTGTACAGTATTCAACATCAAAAGTAAAATAGTAAATTTATGCAGACATAAAGCCAGGTCACACTTGTCTTCATGTCCTCTTTGCTCCTTGACTTATAATAGAAATTTTATGCACAAGCAAATTTAATATCCTATCTTTAAATATTATAAAGAATTGAAACTCTATATGTCACTTGTACAATATATCAGATTTCTTATTAAACGCCTTCTAAAATATATTCTGAACAAAGTCCTGTCCCAAAAATTGAATCAATAGAGTCATATCAGGGTATGAAACAATGGTAAAGTATTTCTAGAAACAAAGCTTGCTCCAATTTACCCTACATTTGGCCACTGGAGTTACCGCCCTAAAGCAGAGCCTCCATTAAGCCGATTCAGAAATTATCTTCCACTAAATGTACCAAAATATAATAGAACAAGTTTGCATTCTTTATGACAGGTCCATATAAC